CCAGCTATAATGCTGGCATCCCATAAGGGTGTCAGTTTGCATCCCAGCTGCTCCACTTCTGATCCAGCTCCCTGGTAATGGCCTGTGAAAAGCAGCAGAAAATTAATATCAGAAATGATCCCCTAAAATTACATATGAAAATGTGTCCCCTCAAAGTTCCCCAGAGGCCGAGTCTGGGGTGCCACATATGTTACCGGAATTTGGGGTGCCAGATGATATCACCATATGCTTATTAATAAATCCCCAATAGTTATATGCCCTAGAGGGTTCTTGCCTAATATTTAGAGAAGAATTCTAAATACTGGCATAAATGAATGAGACAGCATGGTATGTTTTAAGCTTTTATTTAGTGTGAAAGATGCATAGGACAGTGAAGGCTTTAGTTCAGTTTAAGGAGAAGGGAAAATCTGGATTCATACTGAGTACCAGGAACCAGCCATGTAGAAGAGCATCTAGGCCAGGAAGCCTAGGGTGGGTGGCCCGAAGGCCACATGCCCTGGGGGTGCAGGGCTTCAGCCAGCCCCCTCCTGGCTAGAGGCCAGGGCAAAGAAGAGAGAGGACACACCCTGTTCCAGGCTTTTAACCCACTTCCAAAGGGGAGTGGTTAATTAACCTGATTGGCCAGTGGGCACTCAGGTGTGGCCAGGTAGGGGCATCAGGTCACACAGGGGTGTTGTGAAGGTATCAGGTAGGGGCGTGGTGAAGACGTGGTCTTCCAGCTCACAAACCAAATCGATTTTAACCTGTATGCCTACTTCACAAGTGTTTGGGACACTGCCACTCACATGAGAGACCCAATGAAGCTCCTGGTTCCTGGCTTTAGTAGTCTTGCCCAGCTCTGGCCATTGCAGCCATCTGGGGAGTGAACTTGCAGATAGATGGTATCTGTCTATCTCAATCTCTATCTCAATCCCACCCCCATAATTCAGACTTTCAAATAAATAAAATTCTTCAATTTTTTTTCAAAAAGAAATAAACACAAACCACTTAAACTTTCATAAGGTAAGCAAGAGGCTTACCGCACTCATACATTTAGGACCTAAGATATTGTACTGACTGAAAAAAGCAAAGTACATAAGAAAATTATACTTTGTGGTGTTTCTTAAGGCATATATGTTGTTTTCTAAATTTCTGAAGTATAATCATGAGCATTATTATATGTAAATATTTTTAACTTCTGGTAATTAATAGAGAAGAGGAAGTATGGTGGGGTAAACTTTTTATTCTCCATAATCTCTCCTTGATATTATCAGAAGCTTATAATTTTTTTGCTTGCCTTTTTCTGGAATTTACACTTTTAAGAAATTATGAAAATTCCCAAGAACCACTCTGAGAACCTCCACCACCAATGCTTGCAATCAGATATCTCTACAGCAGAGGGTGAGGTAGACACAAAGTGGAAAATGCAAAGTGAGTTGATCTACCTCTCTCAGGCTGTGGCTTCACTGCCCACCTTTAACAACCCACTGCCTTGTTTCTTTCTCCTCCACACTAGTATGATGCCATCCCACTTAGCCAAAAGCCAGTGGCAGCAAATAGCCCAAGGGGAAGTCATCAAATAAAAGGTTTCACTTTAAATAGCTCAGCTTGTCTTTAAAGAGATATAAACATGACAATTTTTAAGGATAGGTTTCTGACTGTAGCAGTTATCATCTTAACTCTTAACAGTACTTATTGACACAAAAAATATAAACTGATGGATAGATTTCTCAATCAACCACATAATTTAAAATAAACAAATTGCCACTCAGCATCAGCTATCAGTATGAAAGTGTTCATGAAAAAAAGCAATTAACCTGGCCAGCTCCGTGGCTCACTTGGTTAATCCTCCACCTGTGGCACCAGCATCCCATATAGGCACCGGGTTCTAGTCCCAGCTGCTCCTCTTCCAGTCCAGCTCTCTGTTGTGGCCCAGGAGGGCAGTGGAGGATGGTCCAGGTGCTTGGGTCCCTGCACCCGCATGGGAGACCAGGAAGAAGCACCTGGCTCCTGGCTTCAGATCGGCACAGCGCCAGCCATTGCGGCCATTTGGGGAGTTAACCAATGGAAAGAAGACCTTTCTCTCTGTCTATAACTCTACCTGTCAAATTAAAAAAAAAGCTCTATGGTGCCCCTCATTTAAACCAGTTGCTTGCATGTATATATGCAGATTGACTTTTGCTAATATATGGAGAGCAATGTATTTCCCTGGCATGGAGCTCTCTGAAGAGTTTAAATGCTAATCTGTTGCTTTCATTTCATTTGCTTATCACCAGACAGCATTTATTAAATATCTATCATGAGTTTCACACTCTACAAATCTGTATTAACTATCTTGATATTTAAGGATACTTACATGTTTTTTTTTAAAGATGTATTTATTTGTTTGAAAGTCAGAGTTACACAAAGAGAGGAGAGACAGAGAGAGAGAGAGAGAGAGAGAGAGAGGTCTTCCATCTGATGGTTCACTCCCCAGATGGCTGCAATGGCTGGAGCTGTGCCGATCCAAAGCCAGGAGCCAGGAGCTTCTTCCAGGTCTCCCACATGGGTGCAGGGGCCCAAGCACTTGGGCCATATTCCACTGCTTTCCCAGGCCATAGCAGAGAGCTGGACAGTAAGTGGAGCAGCCGGGTTTTGAACCAGCACCCACATGGGATGCTTGCACTTCAGGCCAGGGCATTAACCCACTGTGCACAGCGCCGGCCCCATGCTTACACGTTTATAACCTGAGCTAATTCTCATAACTTCCCTCTCTTGAATAGCTATGCCTTTCACATTATGCTTTTTTCACACATATGCAAATACAAAATCAACTTTAGTGTGCTACTTTAGAATTTATAAAAGGCCTTTTGTGTAAGACTTACATAACACTGAAAATCTTAGCTTCTAGGACTTGAACTTACTTGAACATGTGAAACTGGCAAAAAGGACTTGGTTTTCTCATTACAGATGAAAGAGGTGTGAAGAGACTGTTCCAATTGTTAGATTCTAGTGATCAGGCCCCGACTCTAATTAGGTCTCAGGTAGACACACATCTAGATTCTTCTTACGGTCTCTGTCAGAATTCCCAGCCTATGAGTGAAATTCAGTCTGTGAGTAAATTGTAATATCCAAGGTTCTCAGTCAAAAATTTATTGAGGTTTGTATCGATGAGATGAAGCATGTGTCTATATAATACATACATTCAATAAATAAGTACTGAATCATATGGAAGTAAAATTGGATACAGAAATACCAGGCAAAGACTTTTTTGAGATGAAGAGCATGTTTAAAAAGTTACAGTCTTAGAGTTTTGCAAACATGTTTAAAATGTGACTGGAGCTCTTGTTTGGCATAGTGATCAAGCCTTCCACATCCCATTCAGAATGCTTGAGTTCAAGCCTCAGCTCTGCTTCTGATTCTACTTCCTGTTAATAGAACCCTGCTGGGCAGCAGGTGACGGCTCAAGTATTTGAGTCCCTACCACCTACATGGGAAGCCCTAGACTGAGTTCTTGGCTTCAGCCTGACCCAGCCCAGGTTGCTGCAGACATTTGGAGAATGAATAATGAATGTAAGAACACTCTCTGCATTTCAAATAAGTGAAAATAAATACACAAACCTTTTTTGTAAGGCAGAGTTAGAGAGTGGGAGAGACAGAGAGCTCTTCCATCGCTGGTTCACTCCCCAGATGGCCGCAACAGCCAGGTCTGGACCAAAGCCAGGAGCCAGGAGCTTCCTCTGGGTCTCCCACGTGGGTGCAGGGGCCAAAGCACTTAAGTCATCTTGGGCTGATTTCCCAGGTGCATTAGCTTAGCAGGGAGCTGGATCAGAAGTGGAGCAGCCTGGACTGAAACCGGTGCCCATATGGGCTGACGACGCTGCAGATGGAATCTTTTCTACGCCACAGTGCCAGCCCCACAGAACTCTGTTTTGTCTTCCTGATGTCTGAGTGGTTTTCCTTTACACCTAACTGTTCTCCCTAGTAACAACACAGATTTTGCTCTCCAAGTCAAACCTGGAGTTCTTAGTACTGGCAGCTCACCCTAAGAACATGCTGACTGGATCCAATATTCAAACACAGGTTTCCATATTTTCTTCTGATAGATCTAATGCAAAGCAAGGAGAGTGTCTACAGTAACTAATGCCTTGCAGTTAACCAAACTGTCCACTTACAGGCCTGGGAGAGAACCACTGGAATACACACTGTCATATAGTATCCAAAATTGACTCACTTCATAGTTGAGGGACTCTGTCCTGACCAATCATTTAAGTCTGCAGGAGCAGGGAGGGGTGGTTTCTGAAGAATTTACAAATACAGCTCATTGAAGTAAGCTGCTCTCACCCCCACCGCACCCCTATACACATTGTTTTTGCCAGTTAAAAGTTTTGGTAAATTCTAAGCTGACCAGCAGTGACGGAGGAGGCAAGCCCGACTGCTTGCACTGCTGAACTCCAAGGACCCTGGTGTGTCCCAGTGCCAAGCTCACTGTGCCTCACTCTCCCTCCCTGCCCACCAGGACTCCGGACTCCAGAGCTGACCCAAAAAGTAGGCCCAGCTCAGGTGTCGCCTTCGGACAAAGTCACTGTCTCCTGCTCTCTTCCCGAAGACTGCCCGGCCCGATGTTGCAGTTCCTGGTTCGCCCGCCCACCAGCGAGGGAAGCAGAGGCACAGTGTGTTCTTTCTGGAATCCGGCTCAGCTTGCAGGCAGGGATTCGGCAGGCTGGGCAAAGAAGGGCCTGAGCCAGACTGCTCCACAGGACTGCGGCCTGGAAAAACCCGTCGCCCTCAGCGCCCTGCCGCTGGAGGTGTCCCGCCAGATCATGTTCTAAGCCTTGTCTCACGTGTCAGCAGCTCCCAGGCTTCCAGCCAGTCAGCGGCCTTCGTGCCCAGCGCCTGCTCAGGCTCTGCCCCTGCCGTAGGCCTCTGGCCAATCCTCGCTTTAGGAGGTGGGGCTGGCCCAGAGAGACCCCGCCTCCACGCTGGCAGGCTATAAAAGCTGTGGTGAACTGCAGGCCGCTACTCTGTACTGAGATCAGCGAATGCTAAGTGTCGTTTTTATGGAGATTCAGCCCGACTGTGGAGGTATGGACGAGAGCGTAGGCAGTGACACCAAGAGCGTGGAAAAGCAGGAGAAGATGAAACGGTCCTTGTGAGTAGGCTCCTCTCTGTCGGGTCGGCTTGCTGTATATGGGGCACTTTGGGAAACACTGTAGCCTGAGCCTCTGCAGAAAAACCAAGCGCACGATGCTAATTTACTCAGGGAAATTACATCTACGAGGGCTGTGCTGGCTTTGTGAGTGTGGACACTCGGGAGGGCTTGGTAGGAGGAGGGTGGAGGCGCGCTGGGACCTTATGGAGCGGCCTTCTGCGTGCATCTCATCACAGCTGAGAACCCTGGTCGACATCGTGTGCTTCTGCTGGGTGGTGGGAAATCATTTACCTTTATTTTAAAATTATTAAGATTGATATCTAAAGTGTTCTTGTCTATTTAGATAAGAATTCTTGTTGGGAAAGTGGCACAGTCTTATCTCTGGCGAGACCTACACCCTGACACCATCCTAGGCTCTAGCACCCACTGCCATTGCTGCAAGCCAGGTGGCCACATGGCCCAACCACTGGTGTCAGCCCCACCCCCATCCTAATGGGATTCTCTGCTCCTCCTTCCCTGCCCGCCCCCTGGCGAAGTTTTAAAAGGGCCTGTTTCTGAACACGCGGCGCTCTGTCGGCTCCGTTCTCTCACTCCCCTCTCTCCTCTCCTCTCTTCCCTCTTACTTGTTTTCTTTCCTTGCCCCTCCCCTCTAGCTTGCCGGGTTTTCCCCAATAAACCCTTTACCTTACTCCGGTGTTTGGTGTGTTTTGTGGTGAACTTACATTGGTGCCGAAACCCGGGACCTTACAATTCTAAATATCGAGTTTCTGTAAATCAGACAGCGTGGTATGGCTTAGCATTTAGTGTGAGAGAAATACACAGGAAGGTGAAGGCTTTATTAAGAGAAAGGAATCAGAAATTTAAACCGGCAGTTGCATACCAGGCTTTTCCAGGGAGTAGGCCAGAGCCTGCAAGGGAGAGCCTGTGGGCCGGAGAGCAGCAGCAAGGCAAGTCAGCAGGCTCCAGTGGCATCCAGAAGGCCGCCCACACCAAGAGGCATGAGGTGAACAAGGGCCACGTGCAGGCCATCACAGGTCAGAGTCACGGGGAAAGGAAAAACCGTGCAGGCAGGAATGACCACAAAACCACAAGGTGCAGGCAAACAGATGAGGGGCAGCCAAAAGCTGTGCCTGGAGGCTTGGGAGAACAAGGGTGGGCCCAGCAGGCTCCACCCTTTTTATTCAGTCCCCAAAGGGGCATGGTTAATGGTCTGAGTGGCAGGTGGGTGAATACAGGTGGGATACATAAGGGGTGGAGGCGTGGTTTTCCAGTTCATGAATCTGATTAATTTAATCCGATCTGCCTGACCATATCAGGGGAAGAGCATTTGCTGGCTGAAGATCTCGTTTTGAGTCCTTTCTCACCTTTTCATGATAAAGCTGTTCTCAGGCAGTCATGACTGTGGAACAAATCTTCCTCAAAAGAAGCACTGTAGGTCGGAGGGCCAGTGTCACTCCCTATGCATGGCCTCTGGTGCATCCAGGACCATGGGTGGAAGGGGAAGGAGTGAACTGCCGCTCTTTGTGGGCCAGAAATAGCATAAGGTTTTCATTTTTTTTAAGCTTTATTTGAAGGTCGCAGTTAGAGAGGCAGAAAAAGAAGTCTTCCATCCTCTGGTTCACTTCCCTAAATGGCCACAAGCACAGGGGCTGGGCAAGGCTGGAGCCAGAAGCTCTTCAGGGTCTTTGACTGGGTGTAGGTGTCCAAGGACTTGGGCATCCTCCACTGCTTTCCTGGGTGCATTAGCAGGGAACTGGATTGAATGTGGAGCAGCCTGGACTTGAACCATTGCCAATATGGGGTGGATGGCTTAACTCATAGTACTGGGCCCCAGTATGTGCTTTTTGGGTATGCAGCATATTGAGATAATATTTTTGTGAATTTTAAGGTAGTTCCTACCTTTACTCTTAACACTAGTAGTTATAGTCTGAGAAAACTATTCAGTATTTCAGTGCTGGGTTTAAATATTAGGTTGATAAGGCTGCTACTTGGTTTTGTCTCATTTGGTTTGCCTGTAGCTACTAGATAGCTTTATTGGATAAAAATACATTCAGCTGTAGTTGTGTTTTCAAGCATGGCCACTTAGTGACTTTTTTTTTAAAATTAAAAGATTGGAAGACACGATTGAGTTCCTTCTTGCAAAATTCTTCCACTCCTGGGAAGCCCAAAACCAGCAAGAAAAACAAACAGCAAACTTTCAGCAAGTAAGTGAGAATCCTGTGCTCACAAACCTGAACAGCTCACTGCTGAGCTGGAAAGGGGACCTGATATGTGCCCTCTTAACTGAAAACTTCTCTTGCAGGCCTTCCCCAGAGGAAGCACTGCTGTGGTCAGAAGGATTCGAGGAGCTGCTGGCCAGCAAATGTGAGTTAACCTTGAATTTGATCTACTGCAAATATTGCAAGAGTCTAGAAAGGTGTGTCTCCACAGCAAATGAGTGGCTCACAAGAGGAGGAATGGACTCAACAGTCACAGGAGCCTAGAATATCTTTTTTCTCCCCTTATTTCTTAGCATATTGACTCTGAGTGGGGAAGACAAATTAGCCTTAAACAGCACAGTGGCAGTGCTCTTAGTTGAAGTTGTCCACTTTTCCATTGCATATATTGTTTACAAGACACTTGTTCCCAGAGAATTTGTGGTTCCCCTGAAGACATTTTTTTGTATTTGTTTTTATACTTAAGTATTTTGTCTACTGGCATCTTTGTCTTTCTTTAAAATTTGTTAAGATTTTATGTAAGTTGTATAACTTTCATTTATTTCATTTGTATAGATTTTGGAACATAGTGATACTTGCCATGCTACCCTCCCTCCCACCCATGCTCCAATTCTTCTTCCTCTCCCTCTCCCCTTCCCACTCTTTACAATGAGCTACTTTCAGTTTACTTAATGATCATACAGTTAATCCTACACTAAGTAAGAGTTCAGCAAATGGTATGAAGAAAAAAAAAACCCACTGTTCCTCAATGGAAGAGATGGGCTTTAAACAATCATTGAATCTCAAAATGTTCATTGCACTCTAATACATTACATTTCAGGTACTCTATAAGTTAACTCAGATCAGGGAAAACATATAGTATCTGTGTTTTTGGGGACTGGCTTATTTCACTAAGTGTAATGGTTTCCAGTTGTATCCATTTTGTTGCAAAAGACAAGGTATCATTTTTTTACAGGTGACTAGTATGCCATAGTGTATATATATACACCATAATTTCTTTATCTAGTCGTTTTTCCAAACTCTATGAGTTCCAGTAGTGTCTCAGTGGGGTCACCTACAAATAGGGATAGTTTGACTTCCTCCTTTCCAATTTGTATCCCTTTGATTTCTTCTTGTTTAATGGCTCTGGCTAAACCTTCCAGTACTGTATTGAATAGCAATGGTGAGTGGGCATCCTTGTCTGGTTCTGGATCTCAGTGGAAATGCTTCCAACTTTTCCCCATTCAATAGTATGCTGGCGGGTGGCACCGTGCCTCAATAGGCTAATCCTCCACCTTGAGGCGCTGGCACACCGGGTTCTAGTCCCTGTCGGGACACCGGATTCTGTCCCAGTTGCCCCTCTTCCAGGCCAGCTCTCTGCTGTGGCCAGGGAGTGCAGTGGAGGATGGCCCAAGTGCTTGGGCCCTGCACCCCATGGGAGACCAGGAGAAGTACCTGGCTCCTGCCTTAGGATCAGCACGGTGCGCCGGCCACAGCGCAGCGGCCATTGGAGGGTGAACCAACGGCAAAGGAAGACCTTTCTCTGTCTGTCTCTCTCTCACTGTCCACTCTGCCTGTCAAAAAAAAATAGTATGCTGGCCATGGGTTTGTTATAAATTGCCTTGATTGTGTTGAGGAATGTTCCTCCCATGCCCAATTTTCTTAAGGTTTTCATCATGAAAGGATGTTATATACTATCAAATGCTTTCTCTGCATGTATTGAGATAGTCATATGGTTTTTCTTCAGTTTGTTATTGTAATGTATCACACATTGATTTGTGAATGTTGAACCACCCCTGCATACCAAGGATAAATATCACTTGTTCTGGATGAATGATCTTTTTGGTGTGTTGTTGGATTCAAATGGCCAGTATTTTGTTGAGGATTTTTGCATCTGTGTTCATCAGAGAAAGAACTACAGAACAATTTCCCTGTTTCTTTTTCTTGTATAGGAATTAAGGTGACACAGGCTTCAGGAGTTTGGGAGGGTTACCTCCCTTTCAATTGCTTTGAATAACCCAAGAAGAATTGGAATTAGTTCTTTAAATATCTGGTAGAATTCAGCAATAAAGCCATCTGATCCTAGGCTTTTTTTTATTGGGAGGCTCTTTATTACTGATTCAGTTTCCATCTTGGTTATTGGTCTGTGAAGTTTTTTATGTCTTCATGGCTCAATTTAGGTAGGTGGCTTGTGTCTAGGGATCTATTTTAATTTATTTGACAGTTAGAGTTATAGATAATGAGAGAGAAACTGAGAGAAAGGTCTTCCTTCCATTGGTTCACTCCCCAAATGGCTGCTATGGCTGCCGCTGCGCCAATCTGAAGCCAGGAGCCAGATGCTTCTTCCTGGTCTCCCGTGCAGCTGCAGGGGCCCAAGCACTTGGGCCATCCTCCACTGCCCTCCCGGGCCACAGCAGAGAGCTGGACTGGAAGAGGAGCAACTGGGACTAGAACCCGGTGCCCATATGGGATGCTGGCACTGCAGGCAGAGGATTCACCAAGTGAGCCATGGTGCTGACCCATAGGGATCTATTCTTTTTTTCTAGTTTTCCAGGTTAGTTGGCATACAGCTCTTGATAGCTCTTTGTACCTCTATTGTTATGCTCATACCCCCACCCCCTCTCCTCCAAGCAGAGCAATGCCTAGGTGTTTTCCCTGTGTTCAGTACTTATCTGTGCCACCATGTGAACCATACAAATGATCTGCACAGTCCTCACTATGAGCATAGTTCTCTAGCCGAGTGTAGTAAATTGTTCCCTATTACAGCATCTTGGAATCCCAGCATCTTGTTCCCATCCAGCATCTTTGTCTTTAAAGATCTAAATTCTGAGGGCTGGCACCATGGCACAGTAGGTTAATCATCCACCTGCAAAGCCGGCATCCCATATGGGCTCCGGTTCTAGTCCCAGCTGCTTCTTTTCCTATCCAGCTCTCTGCTGTGGCCTGGGAAAGCAGTGGAGATGGTTCAAGTGCTTGGGCCCCTGCACGCACATGGGAGACCAGGAGGAGGCACCTAGCTCCTGGCTTTGGATTGGTGCAGCTCTGGCTGTTGCAGCCATTTGGGTTGTGAAACAATGGAAGGAAGACCTTTCTCTCTGTTTCTCCCTCTCACTGTCTGTAACTCTGCCTCTCAAATAAATAAAATATTTTTAAAAGAGCTAAATTCTGAGGATTATGTGTTTGAATGAAATCTAGAAAATAGCTAAGTGATAATTATTTGGTTATTCAGTTCTTCATATTCTGTGTTCTTTCTCCTCCCATCTCTTCTATCTTTATAGATGGTGTGGCTGTTTTTAGGGCCTTTTTAAAATCTCAATTCTGTGAAGAAAATATAGACTTCTGGCTGGCTTGTGAAGACTTCAAAAAAATCAAGTCATCCCAGAAGCTGTCCTCAAAAGCAAAGGAAATATATATAGAATTCATAGAAAAAGATGCCCCAAAAGAGGTAAGATAAAAATACTCATTTCAGCATAATGTGGACATCCTTGGCACCAAGAGGCAGCAAAAGAATTAGACATTAGATTAAACCAGGGGTGAGGAATGGTGAAAGGATATCTTCCCTGGCATTCTGGTTTTCAACTGTATCTGAAAACCTGGCAGGTGAAGCTCATCACATGGTACAGCTTCTTTTTGTGTTTCATTTTCAAATAGCAGAGCAATGGGTACTGAGTGATCTGCTTTTTTGTTTTATTTCAGGTAAACATAGACTTCCAAACCAAAATCCTTATTGTGCAAAATATACAAAATGCTACAACTGGCTGTTTTACATCTGCACAGAAAAGGGTTTACAGCTTGATGGAGAATAACTCCTATCCCCATTTCTTGGCATCAGAATTCTACCAGAACTTGTGTAAAAAACCACAAATCACCACAGAGCACCATGCTATATGATTTGAAAAAGGGAGCCCCAGAGTGAGAGACATGTCTTTCTGCATCCTGAGGTAGAAGGCTGTCACCTACCAAAGAGAATGACATTGAATTCAGCCTGGTTGTTTGGGAAACATCTCTCAGAACTACTGATTCCAAGTTGGGTAGTGAATCAGGAAGCTGCTGACTGTCTAGGAGAATCTTGTATCAGAATAACTTCCACTGCTCTACAGACACATGGAAAGAATATGTGGCCTGAATGTAGAGGGTCTCACTGGAAAAGCAAGAATATGAAATGGAAGATAACACAATTTATCCAAACACATGAAAAATCAATGTCTGAGATTATGTGGCCTTGGCTAGCTGGCTGTACATCTTTCCCTAAACCCGTCCATGTTACCACATAGTGGCTTTATTTTTCAGTTTTGAGTCCTAACATTAGCAGGTTTGCTCTGTGCAAGAGTATTGAAGTTCTTGTGACTCCAGATCATCCATACTATTCTTATGCATGGTTGAACCTGAAATGGTCTGTTTGAATTGCTAGATAGTTTGTGAAATAGAGTGGGTGCTCATGTGTAGAAAGCTACAGTGTCTGTTACAAGTGCCAAAAACTGTCTTGAAGGCAGCAGAAGTTTGAAGTGGTCTTTGGATATTTTAATACATTTTTTGATAAATAATGCCATTGAATGCTTGGAGTCCAGGTATGAGTTGATTTGATTTTAATAGTTGGAAATATGTCAAGCCCAAGGGGAAACATCTGTCTAGGGAAGCAGAAGCATCTGTTGCTGTGCCTGTCCTTGGAGAACTGGCATCCCCCAGAGTGATTCTCTGATTCTCAGATGAGGGTAGCAGGGAAGATACAACTTTCTAAACCTAAGTTACAGCACATCCTTAGAACCACCCTGTGTCAAGCCTCTTGGTATAATTTTTTAAAGATCAAGGTCATTAATAAGAACAATAGGACTTTGATTTAAAGCCCTTCATGAGTATTAAGAACCAACTAAATAGAAGTGAAGGGTGTGGAGACAAGCACCAATGTTAGGTTATTCAATTGCTCCAATGAAGAAAGAGCCAAATAAGGGGAACATGGGCCTCCCTCTTTTGTCTTTTCCCCCTTGGTTTTAAGCTTTCTTTGACATGTTCCATGGAACCGTATTTTGTCAAATATCTGTGATGGGCTTATCTGGGCCAGTGATCTGAAAAAGAGTAGAAGACATGGTTGTCTACTGGGGAGGAAATGGAGAGAAAAGATGGAGACTCAAACCTTATTTTCTTAGAAACAGATTTCCATATGATCATCAAGGGTAAGGTCATCATCCACAACTTGACAGACTTTACCAGATCTACCTTCAGGATGTCCCAGTCACCCTGTCCTTCTCTTACTGCAGCCACCTGCTTCCTCGCTGGTGTTGTCATTCTTCACCTGGATCTCAGAAGGGCTCAGTACCTGTGTCCTGCTTCTGACCTGTTCTTGAAAATTTATTTTAACATCATTTTTCTCATATTTTATGCTCAGAAAACTTGGACTCCTTGGCTCTAAAATCATGGTAAACTCTTGTGCCTAAGACTACAATTTCTCTCTAATAGCTTGGTTTGTTTTCTGCCTTGCTACTCCTGTCAGCAATATTTGATACAGGCTTTTTTTATGGGGCCCAAGATAAACTATCTCCTATTATTGATCCAATTTCCCTCCCTCTTTCTCTGCCTTTCAAGTGTATTTTTAAAAAAGTTTTTTTTAAAACAAAATACTCTGTTCGCTTGAATTTTACTCATTTGTCAAGGCTCAGATCGATTCATTTCCATGAACTATCCTCAAGGGTATATAAGTCTTCTTTCTCAAGTAAATGATCAATAACTGTACCATTCTGACATACTCTCCTTCATTTTCAAAGTAATTAATAAAGTTGCAGTCTTGGAAGATATTCAGGACCCACTGCTCATTGATGATCTAATTAAATAATTGATTGGTTGAATGATGCACAAACTTTTTTTAAAGATTTTTTATTTGAAAAGCAGAGTTATTGAGAGGCAGGGGCAGAGAGAGAGAGAATGAGAGAGAGAGAGAGAGAGAGAGAGAGAGATCTTTCATCTGCTGGTGCATTCAAAGGATGGAGCTGGGCTCAATCCAAAACCAGGAGCCTGGAGTTTCTTCCAGGTCTCCATAGTAGAGAGATGTATTTTGGAATTTGAATATCTGGGACTGGAACCAGTGCCAATAAGGGATGCTGGCACTGCAGGTGGTAGCTTTACATGCTACACCACATTGCTGGCCCCCAACAAACTCTTAATTGAAACTACATACAGTGGGGAGCCAGTACTGTGTTATAGCTGGTTAAGCCACCACCTGCAGTGCTGGCATCCCATATGAGTACAAGTTCCTTTCCCAGCTACTCCACTTCCAATCCAGCTTCCTACCAATGCCCCTGGGAAAGCAGCAGAGGATGGCCCAAGTGCTTGGGCCCCTGCACCCACATGGGAGACCTGGAAGAAGCTCCTGGCTCCTGGCTTTGGCCTGGCCCAATCCCACCCAGTGTGGTCATGTGGGGAAATGAATCAGCAGATGGAATATCTCACTCTCTCCCTCCCTCTCTCTCTTTCTCCTCTGTGTCTCTGCATTTCAAATAAATAAGTCAATCAAAAATGTGTTCTTAAAATGTAACTGAAGGGGAAGGCGCTGAGGCATAGTGAGTAAAGCCACTGCCTTCAGTGCCGGCATCCCATATGGGCACCAGTTTGAGACCCAGCTGCTCCACTTCTGATCCAGCTCTCTGCTATGGCCTGAGAAAGCAGTGGAAGATGGCCAAAGTTCTTGGGCCAGCTGCTCCAAAGGAAGGAGACCTGGAAGAAGCTCCTGGCTCCTGGCTTCAGATCAGCCCAGCTCTGGCCATTATGGCCATTTTGGGGAGTGAACCAGTGGATAGAAATTCTCTTTCTCTGTCTGACTTTGCCTCTCTCTAACTCCGCCTTTCAAATAACTAAAATATTTTTTAAAATGTAACTGAAAACAAATCATTTAAATATTCTAGGTGGGATGGAACAAAAATATCCATGGGGCAAGAGCTATTTTCTCATAGGGTGAAACATTGAAGGAGTAGCACTTGATTTTGTTCTGCTTGTTTAACCTCCAATGGTATCTATTCTTTCTCCTTCACATATTCACTACCATCATCAAGGCTTCATTTGTGTCATGCCAATGTTACTTCATAGTCTTTGTGGGTTCTCTCATATTAGTTTCCTTTTTCCAATTCATCTTACATATGGAGTCAGATTTCTTTTTTTTTTCTTAAGATTTGTTTATTTGAAAGTCAGAATTACACAGAGAAAAAGAGAGGCAGACAGGGAGAGAGAGGTCTTCCATTAGCTGGTTCACTCCCCAATTGGCCGCAAAAGCCAGAGCTAGGCCTATCCGAAGCCAGGATCCAGAAGCTTCTTCTGGGTCTCCCATGTGGGTGCAGAGGCCCAAGCACCTAGGCCATCTTCTACTGCTTTCCCAGGCCATAGCAGAGAGCTGGATGGGAAGTGGAACAACTGGGACTCGAACTGGCACCCATATGGGATGCCAGCAATGCAGGCAGTGGCTTTACCAGCTATGCCACTGTGCTGGCCCAAGATTTCTTTTAATAAACACCTATTTTACCATATATTTTCTCTTCAAATATTTCCAAAGTACCATGGAAAGAGCACTGGATTTAAGTTAGTGAATAAGATTCTGATCATACAGCATTAACTTTCTGGTTAACCCAGTAACCATCATCCCTTGGGACCTCAAGTTACTTCATCTCTAAGGGAGTTGACTAGATCGATAAAAATGCTTCCAGCTCCAAAATTCTGTCTGGATTTGGATGTTCATTAGAATATGTCCCTACCCTGACAACTTTATTTTTTTTACCAAAAATATCTAACATAAAATCATGGCTTCTATCCATTTGCTGCCTTCCCGATTAGAATAAACAAAAACACCATGATTTTACTCGTGGTGACCTTCTGTCTGGATTGCTCCCTCTTCCCTTAATCTTCCCACATCTGACACATTCTTCAAGACTCAGCTCAACATCTTAAGGTACAACAGTTCATTAATCTCCGGCCCAACCTCAGGTTCAAAATATACTTGTTGAGTACCTACTCAAATAAAGCCCTAGTGACACCTGGAGGAAGAAAGGAAATTCCTGCCCCTGTGGAATTTACAATCCATTGGGGTCAAAGGTAATGAATAATTCACAAAATAAAACAAGGTAGTTCTGGATTTTGACAAATGCATGTGAGAAAAAAAAAAAAACTAAGTGATGAGACAAAAAGACTTGACTGCCTGGGAAGGCACATTCTATATGTTTCATGAATTTTTTAAAGGTTTATTTTTATTTATTTGAAAGAGTTACAGAGAGAGGTAGAGACAGGAGGTCTTCCATCCGCTGGTTCACTCCCCAGAGGACCACAAAAGTCGGAGCTGCACCAATCTGAAGCCAGCAGCTTCTTCTGGGTCTCCCACATGGGTGCAGGGGCCCAAGGACATGGGCCATCTTCTACTGCTATCAAAGGCCATAGCAGAGAGCTGGGCCAGAAGAGGAGCAGCCAAGACTAGAACCGGCACCCATATGGGATGCCGATGCTTCAGGCCAGGGTGTTAAGCCGCTGAGCCACAGCACCAGCCCCTCCATGAATTTGTATTGACTGAACAACTAAACTCCAGACTCTGCCTTTTAATAACAAATCCTCTTTGAATAGGATAAATGTAAAAGTTATTTTAGCTAGGTCACAACTTTCTCTTAGTTCCAAAATAATCTTTGTCTATAAAAATAATCTTTTAATCAAAATACAGTATGTGATATTTTAAAATTTGAAATCATTACTTTATTTACCTTTTAGAATTTATGTATGTCAAGGGAACAGATTTGATGTATTTTGTATATACAATCTTAAGAGCATAATGATATTTCTCATTCTCCCTTTCTCCTTCCCTCCCTCCATCCTTCCTTACTTTTTAAGTTTTGTGATGACATACTTTCCATTTACTTCATAATAACAACAGTAATTCTTCAATAAATAAGGAATTCAGCCGGTGCCGTGGCTCACTAGGCTAATCCTCCACCTGCGGCACCGGCACCCCGGGTTCGGTTGCCCCTCTTCCAGGCCAGCTCTCCGCTATGGCCCAGGAGTGCAGTGGAGGATGGCCCAAGTCCTTGGGTCCTGCACCAGCATAGGAGAGCAGGAGAAGCACCTGGCTTCAGATCAGCACGCTGTGGCAGCCATTAGAGGGTGAACCAACGGCAAAAGGAAGGCCTTTCTCTCTGTCTCTCTCTCTCACTGTCCATTCTGTCAAAAAAAATAAATAAGGAATTCATCAAGTTTAATGACATAAAAAAATCTCTTGAATTATTTCTGAAATCATCAAGAATAACAGGTTTATCCAACTATTGTTCCAATCTTGTGATGATACACCAGACTAATGATCAAGATAATCTTCATCCTTATGATTAAGTTTGTATTTATTTATTTTAGATATGAGAGAGATGGAGGCAGATAAAGAAAGCTCCTCCCATCCACTAGTTCATTCCTCAGTTGCCCACAAAGGCCTAGGCTGGGCCAGGCCAAAAACAAGAGCTGGAAACTCCATCTGGACCTCCCACAGGGATGGCAAGGACCCACATACTTGAGTCATCATCTGCTGTCTCCCAGAGTGTGCATTAGCAAGAACTATTTTCAAGCTCTGTCTTGAAGCACCTTGTCTACTACCAAGGGAGAGATCTCACTGTTCTGTGTCAGTGTCAGTGTCAGCCTCTTGTTTGGTGCCACACCTTTAGCCCTTTGAACGCACTGTTCTTGTGCCTAAAATAGCCTTTTATCCTCTGATTGAGGTGATCTTAACATCATTCAGCTCTTTGATAAAATTGGACTTCTTCAAAACTTCACAGATGAACTCCAGGCAGGATGAATAATTTCTTCTTATCTCCTGCAGTATTTTATTCATACATCCATTATAGCATTTTATTGAAATAATATACCTCAAAGCATCACTTTCTGTACTTACTTTTTAGAGCTATCTCCTCTGTCAATAAGATTATTCAATGTCCAGTTTATTTGTTTACTGTTTTTTACACAATGTTACATGTATTTTTTCTTTAA